CAATATTATTATTCTCACGAACAGCTCCTGGGTTAACCATGTCATGTTATTATGTAAAATCTATTTGACGTTTAACCTTAATTTACCTGCTTTTTTTCCAATGAATTTCCAAACGTAGAGCTAATCATTGATCCTGTACTCTAAGAAAACGATATTGTAGATGCTTCGAGGTTTTTTGTTTAGAAGTTTTAATTACTGCTTATATGCTGTGAACGATTGACATCCATTTGTTTCATTCATTCGACTGTTACTTTTCATGTGCGCAGTGTTAAAATTCATGAATCGTGTACAAGTACGGAAATACAATGCCTAATTACATCACGTGTTAGCTTTTTGTAATTATGAATCTATACTCTTGGTCATTCTCCATCTGCCTTAGGTTACATGGGTGACTGAGGATTATCGTATTACGACGTATCCAAAATGTCACTAGATTTTTAAGAAATAGTTTTTATTTAGCACCTAATTTTTAAAGAAAATTATAGAGTTTATCACGTTTTTTGTGTTACATCAAAGTAACAGTTAAATTCATAATTTGTCTTATGATCATTATGAACACATTGTATATTTCTACTTAAAGATCAAATTGAAGTAAAATATACCACTAAGAAAATTTCATCATCTAAAACAATCATTACTTTTGAAAAGTCACACAAAATTTAAACAAATTCAAAAACTTGACTTTATACTTACGTTTTCTGGTTAGCATTTTTTTAGAGAGTTAGTTTTCTATGAGATTGGATCGCTAACCCTTTGCCCAACCCTCCTTCTTTATCCGGGCCTGGGACCGACAGTAGCCCCAGAGGGGCTCCAGGAGGAGTTTTCTCTATACTTACAAGAGAAAAGAACACGTACATGAAATTTAAAAAGAACCTATCAAAACTAACGATCATGCTGCACCAACTAACTGATCTATAAAAATGAATAATTCCGATAACAGCAGTAAAACCACATATGAATAAAGCATTAAGAGAAAAAACATGGTTTGTTTTTTTGTTATCTAACAGCATTCATATGGTTCACCTTTGTATACTAAATTATTCTTCAGAAGCTTTAACTAATAAGAAAACAATGTAAGAGAATAATAAGGTAATGAAGTTCTATGACAAAAAAAAGGGTTTTTCTTCCTGTTCGAAGTGCATTTTATCTTTTCACTTATCTGTTAACATTTTAATCTTATTTATATATCATAATGAGTGAAATGACCACTTAATTGTACCTTGATACATCGTTATGTTATTGAATATGTAAATGTCTAAAATATTCCATAATAAATAGTTTAGTTCAGAATTTTTGCAAACTAAATATAAAAATCTAAAATAAACAAAATAAAAGATATATTTAATTGGAAAATATCTGGAAAAATCCTTCAATATTTAAGTAAATGCTGGTTATCTTAATCACTTTTAGGCGTGAAAGCTTCTTCAGAGATTACAAAACTAACACTAAAAGAATATAGCATTCCTTACTTAAAATTGGTCAGTGCTAGAATGCATATACCAGAGTTCACAATAAAACCTAGTTCTCTTGTGACATATTGAGTATAATGCAGTTAAAATGATAAGGATCTGTAGATAGCATTTAATTTATCAGTTTGCATTCGTCAAGGATTAGTTTCATTTGAGTTATTGTTGAAAGTAAATAGTGTGCATCTATTAGCCCGATGAGGATCAATCATCAGGTCTTGTGATAATCCGTTAACAGTTATAATCACCAGACTATTTCGTGATCTTAACTCTTACTCATTTGCGTAATTCTCATGAACAGAGAGAAGTAGATCTAAATAAAAAGTTCATCTTAAATTTCATTTCAGAGTGTCTATGATATGTTCATGTTTTAGATTAAAAGTATAACATTAACTTATTCAATAATGGATCATATTTTGGTTATTTCCAGTAAAATAAAAAATTTATATAATTTCAGATTTCTTCAACAGAACAGTTAATTTTGAAAAATTATCGCATTTCATTGAATTTGTTTTTTTTTTCTTTTTGGAAGAATTATTTTCATTAAATACTTTAACTAATAGATTGGTTTTTAATAAAATCTTACCATACATAAGTATTCCATAACTTTTCATTTTCTTATCACAGTGTACCACATAATTTATTAATAATAACTTATCATTCTCATTCATTTATCAATCATATTCGGTTAAACTATAAATTCGAATTATACTATAGAATTTTTAGTTTCAATCAAAGGTCACTTAATTAAAAAGGTATTGATAATATTGTATTTTCTATTGTATAAAGATATTTCAACATTAATTAGCGTTCATAAACATAAAGACTTAGGAGTAATAATAAATCATGACTTGAAAACAACTACGCATTGCAACCTAGTTGCTGCCAAAGGTTATGTGTTATAGTCACTTCGCTGAGCATTCAAATGTTTTGACGGGATGTTTCAAATTTTATATCCCACCTATGTATGACCACACTTAAAGTACTGTACTTAAACAGCTAGCGCATGTCTAATAAAGGATATTAACTTACTTGAGAGGATTCAGCGTGTAGGAACAAAATTAGTGAAGGGTCTTTCTAAACTCCCTTACGATGAGCGCTTAAAACGCCTAAACCTTTTCCCTTGTATCTTAGGACGCAAGGTGATCTTATACTGGCATTTCGTATCTTTAATTATGATTTGGGTGTTGATGTGTATTATCTTTTTGCTCCCTTCAGCACTAGTAATCTCCGAGGTCATAGCAAGAAAGTTCACAAACCGTGATCTAATAAACTTAAAGTGAGGTCCCGTTTTTCTCATCGAATAGTCAATGACTGGAACGCCTTGCCCAAACAAGTGGTATCAGCCCCATCAGTAAATATTTTCAAGGAGAATCTGTCAGGATTTACACAGGTTCACCAACCTACTGTCTTTATTACTGAAGACTGAATTGTATTACATCCAATAAGTGACAAGACACACCTTAGTTACCTATTCCTTTTTATTTCAATATCAAAAATACTATTAATGTAAGCTAACAGTAATTTTGCATATAATTATTTGGTGCTATCATCTCTAATCATGAATACAACTGAATAAATAATGGTTATCATTATAACAATGATCTTAACGAATAACAAATGACATTTTATGATTACATCTACAAAGTGTCAAGTTAATGACAATATGCTCTCTAATGTATAATGTTCTATTATTATTGTAAATAATACTATAAGTGTAACTAAATCATTTAATTACATTATTAAACCTGGGAAACAACAATCATTTATAGTATTCGACAATGTTCATATTCTTGTTTATAAATTCACAAATAATATACCCTTATAGTAATTGCTATGTATAATAATTGAAAAGTAAAAATGATTTATGATAATCAGAAACAATATAAATATATAATAGTGAAGATAATTTTTAAAACGTGCTAAAATGTGTTATGAATAAGGATTTTTCAAAACAAATACATTTATTGTTGAAATAAAAGAATAGAATTCCAACTGATAGATGGTACATAATGATATGATTTAATCAAATAATTGCTTTTTAAAGGATCATATCATTGATATAACCCTCACAAATGATTTCAGATCGAGGACAAAACAAATAGCCAATAGAATAAGTTCCATATTTCTGAAAAAATAACATCCTTACAAGCAAAGTACTAGAAACATGGATAAACATGATTAAAAGGTATACGAAAGACAAACAATAGGGAGATAAGACAACTATAGGAGACCCATTCTCCAACAGCTATAAGACTTAATTACCGTCCTGTTAAAAACATACGATTTACTTTTCTCTTATCAGTATAGTACTGAATGAAAAACACTATACTAGTAAAATGGTTCATTATATATGAAGGCTAGGCAAAAATGATGTCATCCAGCTCGATATATTTAGGTACTTATAGTGTTCAATAAATTCAACCTTGAATTAAAATCACAAATTAAAGTTTTTACCTTACTTCGTAGAATCATACAATAACCTACTTACGTTGTTAATCAGAAAAGTGTACAATTTTATAAATAACAATCGTTTAACCGATATTAGGTGAAATTAATGTCACTAATAAATAAGAACTTTTGTCTAAATTTGAACGAATAGTTTCACAATATTTGGGCGCCGAGTTAATGTGAGACATTAAAGAGGAAAAATATTTTCCTTGAAAAAGCTTGGACCAGATTGCCAGGCGAAACGTTGGATTTGCTTCAAATTCTTTCACTGAGATTTTACAAATACATTCTTCCTCTTTAACTAATGTCACTGTTTAGAAATTCTTAATGTGGTCTGAATTGCAAGTTATTGTTTTGTTGTATCAGTATAAAAACAAAAAACGTGTATATATATTGCAATAGGAAAATAAGTCTTCCTATCTTTAAATTATATCGCTAAAATTTCATTTAGTTACGTGTGTCAAGTTATTTTTGTTTGTTCTATAAGCAACACTGATGAATTTCCTATTGAGTAAATAGATACAGAGACACCTGTGAGTAAAATAAAGACTGTAGTATCTATGATATCAATTAAAACCATCGTACTGTACCTTAAGTGTAGAATTTTAATGCTACTGAAGTCTGATAGTTCTAAAGTTAATAAGAGTAATTGTCTGCTCATCGTAAAATCAACACTTAGTGTAGTACGCTTCTACTGAATTCTGGTGAAATAGTGCCAGTTTTTTAAATTTTGGATTTTTAATCTATATTCCTATTCATTCCCACAGTAATCAAGTTGAAATGTTTATTGTAGGAGCCTGACAAAATCGACCGTTTTGTAGGATAGATAAGTCACTACATACTTTCCAAATACAAATAACTGAAATTGTGAAATTACGTAAACGTTTTAACTTGTAGTAAAATGACTCATTAGTCACTAGTTATGCAACATTATCTAAGGCCACCACTAACTTTAAAATTTCTTTAAGACAGTAATTAAAAAGCCCTTATTTCACACATAATGGTGGATGTGACCAGTAACCACTTGTTCTATTACTCCTAAAATGCCTATCAGGAAAAAGTCGAGCATACAAAACAATATGATAAAAGGCTTCACATTTATCATATTAATTTTAATTTGAAAAAGTATAATAATTTTGGAAAAACATACTGATATATACAATATTTACAAAACAAAATGAGAATACACATTCTTAAATTATCCATCATGCATAGGCATTATTATTTTTATCATAACAATAGTGTAGATAAAAATGCATCATATGTACAGGATATAATTGGTAGTTTGAATACATTAGATATTTACTGCGAACGTTTTGTTCCCACTGAATAATCACAATGTCCTATTAGAGAGATAGTATTTTTAAATGGATATGATGTTGATAATGGATGTTTTTTGCAAATATTAAATGATTCATTTAGGAATTTTGTATTTTTCAAACGATCAGACGGAATCGAAATTCTGGAATTAAAAAAAAGCGAAACATTTTACCAACTATATACATAATGATAAAAAGAAATAAAGTAATAAGAGTAATATTTGCTTGTTTGATTTTGAATAAGTTCAAACTTGCAGGCTTCTAGAAAAAAAGACAAATAATAAGTCAACGAAATAGACAATAATAAAGTTACACAGGATTATACCTATAAAATGTTAAGCATAGCTATCAAAATACAGGTAAATTGAGTCTGCAAAACAAAATATACCTATGACCACTAGTACATACGCTTAAACATGAGTGTAGAAAGACGAGATAAATAAATAGATTTTGTTGATGGTTCTAGATTCCCAGAAATCAATTGGTAAACTTCTCAATTTTGTAATCTCAGTATGCAAATTCTGCTTTCTCGTTTTCGCACAAAAAGCGTCCATTTTTACCTTCAGTTTGTGTTTTCCACTTGGAAGGATTTTGAATGTCATCGGTCCGCTTTCCCTTTTGGCACGCTATTTTGTGACTATTTATTTATTTTATTTTAACACATAAGTATAGGTACAGGGAGGCACCAAATATATATGCGCCACACAAATCTCAATTGATTTGTGTGAGGGCTGTGATACTGCTCGGGTGCCCAAACCGAAGCAGGTGGTTTTCTTAGGGGGCCACACCCCGAGCCTTCGACCTGAACGTCTGACCCACAAGGCAGTGGAGCATCGTGAGGAGATGCAGTCCCATGGTAGCCGGTGACCAACGATTGGTTCATACGCCATTTGTTCCCGCAGGATACTGGAGCCCATGTGCACCATTGGTTTTGGGTCCGGTTAAAGCGCCGGACATTCGCTTTTCGTCCTCTCATTTTTGTAAACAACACCCCCGCCACGAGAACGCAGTGAGTAGGACTTCCCTGGCAGAGGCTATATACGCATGGCCATGTGAGAGCGGACTCTCCCCACTCTCGGCCGTACCAGGGCATTTGGGGGCATTTTGTGACTATTTTAGGACGACATTTTTGTATTGTATATACACGCATGAGCTAAATGCTTATTCGTCTACTCTTCCGTGCTGCATGTAGAGTATGTTTCTTTCCGGTTAAACCTGGTCTTCTTCCTCTAGTTAGCTGGGCTGCAACGCAGTAGAATTCCTTAGCTTGTCCTGTTGTTGTGTTGCTGACGTTTGTTTCGTTCGCCAGTCCTAGGTGATATCTTAATCCTTCGAACAAAGCAGATTTAAATAAATAAATGACAACTGCTTTGTATCAATGAATTTTCTGAAGTTATGTTTTTACACTGCCAGGTTTGGATGCAGATTACTTAGACACTAAATCATTTTATATTTACAAATAAAAAAACAGAAATAGCACACCTCACAGTTTCTTAAACCAGCGAAACAGACATTTTCTATTTATTTATACTAGTTTTGTAATTATTGTTGATTCCACTAAAACGTTAAATTTGTATTTATGCGAAATTCAAGCAATAACACTGATAAATATATTTATTGTGTACCTTTATTATAGGAGCTCATTTTATTTAAATGCGAAACATTATTACACTACTGCTTTGTTTTTATTTTCATTACTTCATTTATCTAACGGTAATCCCAAAATTTAAAAGAAATTTGTGTTAGAGATATGTACATCAGAATTGATTAAATTAATCATTAATTGTGACTTGAAACGCGTCATAATGAATCCCATTTGTTTCGTAACAAATGTATGCCAGAATTGTATAACATATGCAGCTGTAAGCAGTACAAGTTTGACATGATTCAGCTACTTGAAGCTGTTTACAAAGGACAGAACTTTTAACAGAGACAAGCTGCTAAGTTAGTTGGAAAATAAAAGTATACACAAACTGCAAATAAAAGAAAATATAAATCTGAGTCAATTGAATTATTTCTGGATGTAGAGAGAAAATTGTGAACGTCGTTTGCGCGGATAATGAGACTAACTAAGCAGACTTATTTCTATTATTAATCGTCACCATATTTGTGTGTAAGCTAACATACTGCCCAGCCTCAAATCAAAATTCGTTACTTCGCTAGAAAGATACTTCTGAAGTGTGACTATTAAAGTAATATCCAAAGTTTAGAAATGATTGTGCCTAAAATAATAGACAAATAGTGAAAATACCTTAGAACTATCGGACCAACAGCTTTTTCTTCGAATTTTCCATCACAAGCTAAGACATCTGTTCTCACTGGGAATAATCTTGAATTTAATGTGTAGTTTTGCACAATTGTTGGGGGTTTTAATTTATTTTCATTATGAGGAATAATATTTGTTCTAATTGGCGGCAACGGTCGTACACGTTGTCTAACATTTATTAACGTAGACTTGTTATGGTTGATTTTCGTAGATGTTTTATGGAGGCTTGAAAATAGAAAACAGGAGTATTCATAGACTTACACACAAAACAATCAAATAACTGATAAAATGTTCAGGGACTTCCATTTAACCCGAGTTCTCGTGAAAAACACACTAAACGACTATACTTATGGTCTACCCTCTTGGAGAAAAACCCTAACCTGACGATTCTCCTTTGAAATGTGATGTATTACTTAAGCTTCTGTAAATTATAGTTAATTTGTAGTGCGATTGTATTTTAATACATAATTACGGAATCTCTTGGTAAAATATGAGAACTATACATTTATTACTTCATTTACAAAACTACATCATTTTTCCTACCAAGCTGTTCAAACCAAATTTGATGCAATGGACTCTTACGTTATGATCTAATCGAAAGTCTATTATTGTAACCTTTATCTTACCATATTAACTCCAATTTATTCTGTATTTAAGTTACACGTTGGCCTTTTTTGGTAAGGATAACTAGTACATTTTTTATGAGAAAAGCCATTGTTTGGAAGAAACCTTTATTTGGTTTATCCACAAATTATTTTCAGATACCGTATACACTTTTTCCTAATAACACAAAATGCTATTTCAAATACTGGAATAAAAGTAAGTGCATACACAAATCAAAATACACCATAAAAACAAAGGTATTAACTTTTTGAAGTTGTAAATACAACTGAGCTTCTTCATTTTAGAATGTATTCATAGATCTATGACCTAGGGCAAGTAAAAGTAAAATTGCAATTATTCGGCCGATATACTTAGTAAATAAGATTTTAGATACAACCTTGTTAGAACAATTACAGTACCGTAGAAATGTTGACTAATATAATGTATATAGGAAAAGCGAGGTGTAAAACCAATGTTTGTTTTGAAAGGTTTGTATTTACAGACGACAGTTTTAATTTCTTAATATAAACTGAACTGATCAGTAGTTCGATGTCCTCCAATATATCCAATCAGGATTTTGGGATTAGTTATGTTAGCTAATTATCTGAATAACCGCGAGCGGGATCGCGGATCACACTGCTGAGTAGTACCATATTAGGACGAAACGGCCGTCCAGTGCTTCTAGGTTTTCAATGGTGGTCTAACATCAATCGGTTCATGATCTCAATCAAAAACTTGACAATCTCCACAACACCTAAATTGATAATCCCTTTCAAATTCACTTCTTGTTTTTATTTCACCAAAGAGAAGCGCTTGACGGATACCAAAATTACAAACAAAGAGGTATGTTTAACTTTGCACATAACACTAACCTCAAAGGTCGTTGTGAACAGCAAAGATCAGAATTTTTTTGACGAAATGCATTTAGTTTGTCGAAAAATTCCCGTCGATTTAACCACTCTTCATCATCGATATAGTAATTTGCTGATACGTTTACTTGGCGATTTGAAATGTTTGTGCATATGGGCCTTATCTGATTATCTACCATAGAGGCTATCCAGTCATAACCTAGGAAATCTGTAGATAAATCTTGTACAGACCCATTACTTTGTTGCCCAGTTGGACCAGTAAGACGCTATATTAAAGGAGTAACATCATTTATTAACACTGATGACAATTTTATACAGTCCTAAGCAAATTAAAGCTGGGAATAACCGATAATTACTTTTAAATAGTCCCAACAGATTTCATAGAGTAGCCAGTTAGCTTCAGATTATGAATCTGTTGCAAACTTTCGTTGGGCATGACAATCTGAACATTTTATCATAAACTCTGCCAACATAATAAAAATTCCTCTAAAGCAAGAAATCGACGCAAAAGATTTATTAGACTTCCATTTAATAATCAAATCCAGAACTAATCCTACAGAAACATTGCAAAATGAAGTAAAGACAAGAAAATAGTTTGACTATATTATGAATGCTTGACATCAGATTTAATTGAAATCAGAATCGAATTTGAAATTTAATTTCCTCACTATCTTTTGAAAAAGTAGACAAGATGGTATATTATACAGGTCTATGTATAGGAAACCAACCAGAATGAACAATATACGAATTTTCATTGCTGAGCTTTATTAAACAGAAGGGGAAACCCAATCCAATTTTATCATCAATGTCTAGGCGTATACGCTTGGAAGACACAATAGACAAGAAACATTACAAGCCCCGACATATATTTCTCAAAAACAGCTACTCAGGTTTGTTGAGTGAAACGTGAAACCGAAATTACAATCTGCAATAACTCATTTAGGGAACATTGAGTTTAAGGAAGACTACTGCAGATATTTTAAAGAATCGTCCGACACAATCCGTGAGGAAAACGTTTTATCCCTTCGAGGTTCGTATCGTCCTTAGGCGCCCTATTATTCGTCAATACTACAAGAATATTTAATTTTAAGGAAAAAACAGTAGTAACAAAAGCTTTTTATTTATAATTTACCCGTTAAATGATACTAAACTAACAGGGGAAGGAATACAAAACTTACACACTGATTATGCATTTTGTTTTTATAAAGTGGTCGAATATTCGATGCATCATCCAGCCCAAAATAATTACGCTTTTCATTTATAGACTCAAAAGAATTTTCATGGTATGTCATCTTTTCGTTGCTTCGCCAAGTGTTGAGCTAATTTCCAAGGATCCAATACACCAACCAGTATTTAGTCTGTATAAAAATATAAAAGATTTAAGTTCAGTACATCAAAATCAACGTCTAATAAAATAAGATCTGTACTAAAAACGTGGTTGTATATTAAATAATACAAAACGTATATAGTGAGAAGAAAAAGACATTCTTTTTCCAACTGTTAACTGAAAAGGTGAAAAAGACAAGAATCTTAAAGAAAATCTATTTACGTAGGATCCTATCTTCAGACTGAAATCAAGACAGAGAACACCAGTACCTAACAAATTTAGCTTCGAAAAAATGCTGAGCGGCAAAACCAAAAGTTTAAAAGGTGAACTATTATTGCTTATTTTTAAGTTATTTTGATTTTTAAAACAGTCAACGAACCAGATAGATAACAACTTTATACGCTATTATTCTCGTAATTATTGATAATCTATCTGATATATACAAGTAGACGGAAATAACCAATATATAATGTTGATTTTCAACAGGTGCCAAAAATTATCCATCAATTTTGTTGGTTATAATAACCGATGGAACAAGTGGTGGGTTCCCAAAAGACGGAAGTGAAAGGAGAACATAATCAAATGGACGAAGGTAGAAATGAATGACCAGTGTGAGTCACCCCAATATACAGCCAAATAACAAGGATAAGTTTCCTCCAAAGTAAATGAACATAAAGTGCCTAAAATAAAAGAAATTGATAGTACCAATTTGAAAGACACACAAATTACTGAGGATAACTGAAGTTTCCTAAGATAAATTATATCAAATATACATGTTAATTTGCACCTAATTAAGAATCACGCAAAGTGGCAGGAAGATCAAGTTTCTGAAGACAAACCAAATGTGGCGAATTGAGAATATAGCACAAACGTCTTTGCTAATAACCATACTACAATTTATCTTTGATATCCGCCACTAGATGAGACTCATACATCACTACTTCCCACAACTAGATGATAAAGTAGAGTTCTGGAGAAATAAAGGTAAAAAAGGTTTTCATTTTGGAGAAGACTATTTTTCTTCACTGACGTAGACACAATATAGTTAATAAATAGAGGGAAATAAGACTGTTGGTCATTAATTTGTGAGAGAACCAGACTGTCTGTGATAATTCAAGCAAAGATCAAAGTTTAAAACATGAGACACTTCGTCCCAGTGAGGAAGTTTAAACGAGAATCCAGCAGATTTCCAGGCCTGGTAAGAAGAAAATTTGATGCTTTTTCGCCTAAATTTACACCAAATTTATCAAAATAATGTCGCCCATATTTTCCAAAGGTCCCCCTTTGTTTAATGTTTTTGTTCGCTTATATAAAGGCAAATGTCCGTTAAGTCAATGTATGTCTGAATTTAATGACAGAATTGCGATATCTCTTGCAACATATGTTACAAATATTTGGCCTTAGGTAAAACGCAGTCTAGCCTGAAATTACGTCGTGTGAAGGGTGTGTAAGTGAAGAGTAACGTGCTGAAATCTGAAGGAAAACAAACTGGGAAAATAAGCTCAGCACTCAGAAAGCATAACAAGTATGTTAACATATCATAAATAAACATATCGATAGTAACCGTAAATAAAAAATTCAGATTTAAAGATATATCATGACCGAAATTGAGTTACTTTAGTACACACATCTTTGTAGACGTTTGCATAAAGCAAGAAGGTACTCTGTGTACAAGGAAAGAATGCACAGTAGCATGAGGGTCAGACACCCAATCTCTTAAGGTTGAGAAAATTTTGAGAAAATATTGTGGAATTTCCCCAGATCCTGGCAAGGTAAAAAATTTTCGCGCCATTTCCTTGGAATTTTCTATAGCTTCTTCCTCAAAACGGGTCAAAATTTCCCCAAAATTGGCAGATTGGGTAAAGGGACAAAAGAAGTGTATCGGCAACTCAACAACCACAAGCAGTGCACTTACTTGAATAACAAGGCAATTAAGAACATGAAATAAAAATAATCTGATAAACGAAACAAAAAGGTGAACGTGCGAAGTCTCGGACATTTGAAATCACCACGTGTTCAACTGACTTGTAGACATGGCAACTAATTAATAAACTATTTGCACATTGGTAAAATGATTGAAAGAAAAAGAACATTATGTTGCATTACGTTTTTATGTCATTAAATGTTAGCAATATCTTTAAATGTAGACTATAACTTGACGAAACTGTAGCGGTGAATAAAGCCCCAAAATATATAGCTCTGAAAGTTTTCGACGTTGGATGCTGACCACATTTCTTTTAATGCACTCATCTAGTTGAAGGTGCTCAGTCATCCATCCGTACCAGATCACGTGTGGGAATGCCGTGCTCTGATCTGTAGTGACCTACTTTAGTTAACAGAACGCGATTGGTTCAACGAAAACAATTATTATTATGACCAATTGTACCAGTGATTATTTTACTGTGTTCGTTTGTTTAACTATGCTAATGACAGTCACTAACTCACACTCCCGTTGACTTTGAACTTGTAAGAATTCGAATACGCTTAGCACTTACGCTTGTACTCCCTTGGCACGATCTCGGTACTCTTTCGATACCATGATATAGCCAACAAATGCATCTCGACCACAGCCATCATTTGTCTTCTGATATTGGCCCACGGGTATCTTGTTGGGTAACTGGCACGTAGTCTTCTTGTAGCTGTGTTCATAATCAAGCGCGATTCTACAACTCCCTACAGATCCTCCACATATTGATAGCTGTTAAGCGAACCATTTTTCACCATCAAAAAAAAAAAATACCTAAGAGGACAAAACATGTATTATTACTTTATCAGCCTATATGCTTACTCATGTTTGTTTTTAAGGATTACCGAAGTACTTTTACACAAATTGAAGACCCAGTAGTGATATAAAACCAAAATGAAAAGAAAGTATAAGTGTAAATTATGGTAACAAGCACAAGCCTCGAATTATATCTGTTTTCTATAACTTCATAATCCACAATGAGCCAATAAAATATTAACTCGAATTCCAATGCTTCTAAATGCATATTTAAACAGTATATTTGTTTGACTTGTACGGTAAATATGCTGAATGAAAATTAGTTTGGATTGGAATAAAAATAGTATTGGCGGCTTAACAGGCATGTAAAAGGATACATAAGGTTTACGATGCCACTGCACACCAAAACACTGGCAAATAGAAATCACAACAATATCTTTCAGATAAAGCTGATGTACTCCACTTTTACGAGCAATGGTTAATAATTTGCAACTGAATTTAACAAATAAGATAACAATCAAGTAACCTTAATTGATTGGTATTCTATCTGTTCATTTGTTCGGTTAAATTGATAAGATCAATGAAAATAAATGGATATTTGTGTGGATAAAAAAGCGAGTTGTTAACTAGGTTTATAGATTAATACAGTAATGTTAATTTACTGTTATAGTAATTTTAAAATGGCAGCACATCAAAGTTGTGACACTGACCAATGCACGTTTGGTCAAAATCTAGCATTCGGCTACTAAAATTCTGGTGCCGCTAATTATTCATGCAATGCACCTGCTAAATAAATGTACAATTACTACAGTTTACACCCCCTGAAAAGCTCTTGGTAATGTCTGTGGACATGACAAATTTAGGCTTGGCTTTTCAATTATGAGGAAAGGCTCCATGGCTGTATACTGCAAACGTGATGATAAAAAATATTGGGCCATAGGAGAACCAAGGAATTTCTATAAAAAACTACAACGATGACTAGCTGTTTGGAAAAGACGAATGTGTTGCAAACTATTACATAAAACCCATACCATCCTCTGTTATCTGAAATGCAGCTAAGTCTTTAAATATAAAAATACAAAAATTTAATACAGTGAGGCTTGATGCGTAGCGAAGTGGAATGGATTCCCATGATGGAGGGAAATAATACTGACAATCAAATTTATAGCAACTGTGTCACGGCTAAATGAATCTAGGAGTTGACTTAACAGAAGCGAATCGCAATTTAATTAGGTGATTTCAGAAAGTTACAGATGGAATGCATTCTGAAGCTGGGAGAAAAGCCAATTGGACAGACAGACAAGTTTAAATTCATATTTGTCGTGAACGAGAACTAAAATATAGGAAATAAACATATTGTTTAATGCAAGCATAGAACCGAGGTAGTTGATTATTTGGATATTTAAAATGTTTTCTTTAAAATCTGCACCTATGCAAAATTTAAAAAATACATACTGCACAGCAGAATGAAGATCATTTGCGAAATAAAGGTTTTAAATTTGGCTGTATATGTAGAAGTCACTAATAGCGTAAGGTATCATGAATTCAGAAAAAATAACTTACTAATTAGTTACGCTATTGAATTCGGATAACCATGAATATGCCTTTGGACACTTTCGGCTGACGCTGGGTTGAATGATTCTGATAATAACATTTCAAAATATATCGGAAGGTAAGTGAAGAGAACGTTAGTTGATAGAAGTTATACATATCCCAATGTAGAATGTAGCGTGTTGTAGCGGTAAGTAAATCCCCAAAATAAATAGTTCTGCAAGTTTTCGACATTGGATGCTCACCAAATTTCTTTTAATGCACTCATCTAGTTGAAGGTGCTGGGTCATGCATACATACCAGATCACGTGTGGGAACGCCGTGCTCAACATCTACTGCAATCGCTAGCCAGATTAGATCAGACGATCCTCGATATATAGATAGCTTATCGAATATATCTTGAAATCTCCTCGCTTCTGTCTTTTGATTTCGCTTGGTGGGTACGCTTCATATTAGAATGTGTTACTGGCTAAAGCGCTGTCAAACTCCGAATACATGTGGCATCTTCAGTGTAAATACCATAAAAAACATTGTGATCATCATGTTATGAACAAAGACTCATGTACGGTCAACCAGTTTATTAAATTGTGCACATACTGAATTTGTAAAATATAAAAATCAAAAGTTAAATACATTGTATATGCACGTTAACTGAATTGTCTCTTACAAACTAAGTTGTTCCTCCATTCCAGTTGTTATTCTGACTGATTTCTGTTTTTCTTTCTCTTCTTCACACTTTTCTTTTTCCCGGTAAGAATTCTCCTTTCAATTTATAACATTTAATATTTATATCTGTTGTTACAGAGACAGCATAATGCACTGAGAGAAATGTCCCACATGAATGATTGAGAGAACCTACAACCCTCGAATGCTTTATCGATCATTTTTGCCTTTCAAACTAATACATGATTTAAACAGATTATTTGGAAGTTGATTAGCGTCAGGTGACATATAACGAATATGCTTTTGTTTAGCGAGCTGTTACGGCGCTAAAGTAACATTTGTTAGTTGTTTTCGCACTAACAATTTTCGTGCAGTGCATCACATTGTAACCAATCTCTAAACAAATAAACAGGTGATTCATCAGACAATGTTTCTAGAATCAAAATCTTTGGAATACTTTGTCGTGATCCCAGTTTCGAGGATAAAAATATAAAGCTTCATATATTTTTAGAAGTACTTTCATACTGATAACGTAGTAACCAGGTTAAAATTTGATCGATTTTTTTTTAAAGTTACGTTAATTTGACACTTTTCAACGCCAGTTGAGGTGAAAGTAAGTTTGTGATCATAAAATATAATTTAAAGAGTTATAGTCATTTTGTACTGAGATTGTATTTACGATTTGAATGTGTGATCGACACATGAATGTGTAGCTTTTCAACCTGTTTTTTCCAAAATCCTCAGCGTCGTGATTCCCTTTTTATTTTGATTGCACATCGTGAAATTCGTTGCCGGCAATGCTTGTTCAAACGACTTTCCATTTGTCCTTCTAGAGAATAGTTAACAGAAAATTTAGAACTCAGAACATTATTTCATTACTTGTTGTTATTATTCTTTCTTTTGTTTTGTGTGATTGAATCTTTTCTTGGAAGAACTGGCAATACTCTGCTACTAGATAAAGAACCCGTTGTGCTAAAGCTTCTCCTATTCTGTTCACAACCATTTGAATTGGTTTGAAATAATGGTTGGAAAGTTGCCTATAGGCAAAATCTCTGGTTTAAAATTGTTTTTGTTACAATGTACCTCATGATACATACTTCCTTTAAAGATTTATAGAGGTACTATTCGGGGGTACACAATGCATACTTTTCACTCTTCCTAGTAACAGACTTCAGTCTTCAGTCTTCAGTCTTCAGTAATAAGGATAGGAGGTCTATCGACCTGTATTAATCCTTGCAGTTTGTAATACTGTGGAGGTCCAATCTCGTCTTGAATATATCAACAGAAGGTGCTGATATTACGTGTTCCGGTAGAGAATTCCAATAATTCACTACTCGATGAGAGAAACGAAACTCCAGACGTAAACGATTTGATCTCGGTTTTTGAATTTTTTTTGAGTGTCCTCTCAAACGATCAGTCCTAGACGGAAGTAAAAGATAAGACATGTTAATACCAAGGTCATCGTTCAGTATACGATAAGCCAATATTAGATCACCCCGAATTCGACGGTAAGATAAAGGAAATAGGTTGAGGTGTCTCAATCTGTCTTCATAAGATAGTCCAGATAGACCTTGTACCATCTTAGTACCTCGTCGTTGGACTCGCTCTAGCATATCTGCTTCGTACTTGAAACAAGGACTTGCTGCTTGAATTCCATATTCTAAATGTGGTCTCACATAAATCGGGTATAGTAGTCTAAACATTTCGTCATCTAAATACTGAAAAGACCTACGAATAGACCATAATATTCTATAGCCTTTTGCAGCAGCAGCCTTACAGTGACTAGTGGTTTTGAGATCACTACTTAATATGACTCCCAAATCTTTGTAGTTTCTTACTTTGGGTAGTACGAATCCACGTATTTTATAGTGATACGATTCATCATTGTCATTTAATTGCATCACCACGCTCTTATTTGGATTAACTTCAAGTGACCACCTATCTAACCATTCCACCAATGAGCTAAGATCATTCTGTAATACTATTCTATCCGACATACTGTGTATGGGTCTCCAAATTTTTATGTTATCAGCGAATAGTAGAACGGATGATTTTGCTACAGTTGGTAATTCATTTACATAAAGCAAAAAGAGGACCGAGGATTGTACCTTGAGGAACTCCACTTTTTACAGGTAGCCACGGGGAAAGAGCCTCATTAACCCTTACCCTTTGTCTCCTGTCATGGAGAAAGTTACTTATCCAATCTACGACTGTATAATGGATTCCGAAGAGTTCCAGTTTTAGTCTAAGACCAGAGTGAGAGACCTTATCGAAAGCCTTACTAAGGTCTATGAAGATCACATCTACAGGAATACTCTGATCTTTTGCAGCAGCCCAATCTTCTCTTGCGATGAGAAGATTTGTCAAGCACGATAGGCCTCTCCGAAAACCATGTTGTTCTCTGGAGAAAAGATTATGCCTTTCAACATAGTTTATAACAGATATCCGAATGATTTTTTCCATCAGTTTTACAACTGCACTCGTTAAGCTAACGGGTCTATAGTTACTAACTAAGTCCCTACTCCCAGCCTTGTACACCGGACTTATTATAGCGTCTTTCCAGTCTCTGGGCAGTTTGGACTGCTTCAGAGACATGTCAAACAGTATCGCCAATGGTTCAGCAATTACGTCTGATATGGCTTTCATAATCCTAGGATGAATATTATCAGGACCACTAGACTTATCAGGTTTGATATGCTGAAGTAGCCTTAAAACAGTACCTTTCTCAATGACCACAGGATCCATCAGCGAGCCGTTACGGTCATAATGAATCGTTGGTCGTTCCTCATTAGTGATAGAAAACACTTTACTGAAATATTTCGATAAAGCTTCAGCTTTTTCTGTATCATTCTCTGCCAAGATTAACGGATTTTCTTGTATCAAAAGTGATGGAATTCCATCACTTCTCTGAGTTCGTCTTTTTATATACGAGAATAACCGTTTCGAACTATATTTAGAATCCCTAACCAATTGCTTTTCGTATGATCGTCTAGTCTTACTTATTAAAGCTTTACAGGCATTCCTAGTCTTACAATAACTGGATCGGTATTGTTCTAAGCCCGTAGAGATGAACATATTCCAGTGCTTCTTCCTTCTTCTAAGAAGTTTCTTAACTGGTTTGGTTATCCATGGTGGACTATTATTCGGTCTTCGCGGTATCAGGTATGGTATGAACGAGGACGTAACTAAACTAAACTTACCTTTGAATACAGACCATGCTTCTTCAACTGATAAGCTAGTATCTACAAACCAATCTGTCTTAGCAGCGCATTCCTGAATGGCTGATATGTTAGCTTTCCATATATTTGGGCGGGGTGTGACCTGATCGTATAACATGTCCCTAGTTCTAAACGAGAAGGACAAAACAGCGTGATCACTGTTCGCTAACGGTGGGAGAACATTTAGGTCGACAATATCTTCAGTATCATGAGTGATTACCAAGTCCAACAGAGAAGAACCTTGGTTAGCACCAAAACGTGTAGGTTTGGATACATGCTGCACTAATGCATGCTCCATTATTGTTATCAGGAACCTATTTTCAAAGGAGTTTATAGATCCTTCTGTGGTCATTTCAGCCCAACTAATGTTAGGTGCATTAAAGTCTCCTATTATCAAGCACCTGGTATTGGTACTCCAAAGATGAATGTGCTCTAGAATAAAGTCATCGGCTAAACAGATTGGGCTGCGATAGATGACACCGAGCATAAACGTACTACATCCGATATCCAATTTACAGCTAATAACTTCACAAGTACCGCTGTCATGGGATTCGCTAACAAAGGAGCGTATATTTATACTATTGGATATATATAACAGGACACCACCTCCTTTTCTACAACTATGTCTATCACTCCTTAGGTAATGGTATCCCGATAGTTCTGGAGTAATGTCGAAGTTATGGACTAACCAAGTTTCTGTCACTGCTACGATGAGTGGCCTTAATCTGTCCACTAATGCTCCTAGCTCATAGAACTTATTTCTTAGACTACGAGCATTGGCATATACACATAATGCGAAAGTCTCGTATTTCGCTATTGACGATTCGGGCTGATAATACGAGACAAACTGACATTAAAAACCACAGTTCTATCAGAGTTTTGGCTTTAAAAAATGAGACACCTTATTTCGATTTCCATCGCATCTTATCAATTATCATACGTGTACAGTCCGCTACTATACTTTTGCTCACAAAAACCTCGAGGACTAACTTTTTAAAAAGTCGGAAATTAAAATCGTGATTACACGAAATGAACATAAAATTTTGACCTCCGAACATTTCGAATTCCTGCTCGTTTTATACTGGTTGATTATGAACAGTCCTAATTTCATACAAGCTCATTCAAAACATATACATAGTTAAGTGATATACAGAGTAATACTTTGTTTTTTGTCTAACTGGTCTGCTTTTTATACTCAACTGCTGAATCTCTAAGAAAATTTGGTTACTCAAGATGCAAAAATGTGTCTTTTTGATATTGTCATACTGATAAAACCTTCAATATATACTTTGGGGACTCTGTAGAAACGCATTTGTGATACGACACTACCATTTATGTATTGTAGAGTTGTTTGAGAGAATGCTTTTGTGCTTGCGTAGGTGCATGAGAAAAATACAACTACCCAAAATTATGCGTTATGTTTATTACAAAAACAAATGCTCAATCAGAGAAATGGTATCAACAGTGATAATAGGGATAGGAAGTAACATAAAAACGAATTGTTGATTATCTCAGTGGTTTCCAAGTGTCACAAACGTGTACTACTCATAAAAAGGGTGCATAATACTTTGTTCTTTTACCATCCATAATGTTTAACAATGTTCCCATGTATACTTAACTCTACCGAGTTGATGATTCCATAAAACGTATAAATAAAGGCTGTTATTTGAAGTTAGTTAAAAGAAAGTCAATAAAGGAAGACAATCTGAGCTATACTAAATACCACATTTAAAATATGCTTGTCTTTTTTCTTTCACAGATTGAATTTCTATTTTGCAAACGCTAAAACTTATGTGTCATTATATTAAGACGATTTTAATCAAAATGTCACTTTTATTTTAGTTATTCCAAGTTAATGAACATAGGTCACCATACTCTTGGGAGTTTTATTGCTAACTAAAACGCAAGGGCTTTTTCATTTAACGCTTTTTAATTTTCATTAGTTACAGTAAAGGACATTTGTTATTTAAGAGATCGTTTATTAAAAATCCATATTTTTCAAAAACAACAAGTTTTGTTAAGAAAAGCAAGACGTTAACAAAACTAAGGTAATGGTTCACCTCTTTTCTTGTAAACACAAAATATAACACGATGAAAAATAGTTGTTTTCAGCCTTCGGCGGCTTTACGTCCCAATGGACAATTTGTTATAAATTGTTTTCTTTTACTTATCATAAAACGACTTCAGTTGGTCTCTTACCGATGACCTTCATAATGTAATGTTCTGAGAATGCATAAAAAACCAAGAAATCAAATAGATTTTTTGTACTTCATTAAATGCAGTGCGTTTCTCTGTACCTGTGAAAAAAACTGATACAGATTCATAATCCACTTATTATTACCTACTTACTTACACCTGTTACCCCTCGTGGAAGAGCATAGACCGCCCACCAGCA